AGTTTCCCCGTGGAGCTAAGCCCTAAATACCAAGCTTGTGAGATTGCAAGAAATGAGAGAAATCAAATAAGAACAGGACACACATTGTTCATTGTATTTGTATTGTATAGCTTACACTGAAAAAAATTTCTGGAACTATTTTAGATTAATTTGAGTTAAAATGCCACTTTTTGATTTAAAAATGAAACATATTTGAGAGAAACTTGAAATGATGTATTTATCATATGTACATTATACTAGCTAATAAGAGGTAATGACCTCTAAAAACTCTAACAAGAATGTATTCATCTTCTTGGCTGGTCACCACTTGTACCAGTGGCTTCATACAGGCAATTCATTAATGTTTAAGTGTTCAAAACAAAAAAACCTCAACCTTATAAAAGGACCGTGCCATCTGAAACTTGTGATAAGATTAGATTTTTTTTCTTCAAATTAACATTAATCTTGTGCAATAATGCACCATTATGGATAAGAATTAAAACCTATAAAGTCATGGAATTCAGTGGAATTTTATTTTGTCACAAAATTTTACGTCTGAATATGCACAAGGGTGGCAAATTAGATTTGATCTGGAAGCCTCACTGAATTCCAGTTGCCTTAAATCCGGAAGTTAAGTTTTCTTTCAAAACACTGAGTGATCATATGGTGCAGTAAACATGTAGTTTTGCCAAAATGGAAGAAAAAGTTAAAGTAAAGGAACTTAGAGATAAAAGAATAGGTACCAATTCATTCTAACTGTATCTTGCACATTCTGCCTGTTCAAGCTATTCCTGCAGTTTCAATCATTTGACATGCTGAAGGCTAGACTCCCTACTCTGTTTAAAATGGGGGTATGCTAGAAGGACATCTTCCATGAGGACTACTTGGCTATGAAACTTGCGTCCCACTTGATCTTGCAGAATCTCTATTTGTTAACCTGGGCATGCAGCCCTAAATATGAGGATTAGATTTCTAAACTCCTTCCTTTTACAATTTCCATGTAACTTATCTGTAACAGGTTGGCAGTGTTTCCTAACATACTACCTTGTTAGCAGGGAGGGAGACAGACAGCTAAAAAAGGCTAAGTAGTGCTAACACAGTGCTGCAGTTATATCACTAGCCACCTGTTTATGATAGAGAGCAGGAGAAGGTTGGCAAAACAGTTTGGTTTGCACAAACACCAAAACAAGTTAGGAAAATGTCTTAGTGTGAATGGTAGTGTTCCAAAGCAGAATATCCTTAAACTTTCCAAACAAATTTGCATTTGTGCTAAATCGAACATGATACATTTCTGACAAAAGTCTAACATTTTTACATACTTTACATAAGCGTTCAAAAACAGTGGTTTAGAGTAGAAGTGTTCTCGTAACCATAACAATGATGCTATGCATGCCTCTTCCATGTTGTCTTACAAGGGCAACTTCTGGTGAAACAAATTTTTTTTTCAGTTTGAGTCCTTTTCTTTTTCTATAATATGTAATATAAAGAGGAATTGTTATTAAACTGATAAGAATCTACGTATCCAGTTTTCTGAGCTTCATCTTTGTTTGAAATTTATTTTGCTTCACTGTCTCTTAAGCTGCTGGTATGTTTAGATACTACTTTAAACAAATTAGAATTGCTTAAATTAATTGCTATCTGGATTTGTTACAAGAAACTACTGGTTTTCTCCAAGAACTAACTTGCCTGGAAATATTTATCCTCTCTCTAGCGCAGAGATGCCAGATGATTTATCAATTGGGAAATCAAATTGTGGTTTTTCATCTTGTGTTGGAATCCCTGAAACTGGCATTCTCCGCCTCTTCCTTTTTTGTCTCGCTGGGCCTTCCAATTTTATGGAGTTCTGGTGACTTTTACAGAAGTTTGTAGTGGAAAAAACTTGACTGCTTATAGTCCCCCTCATCTCCCCCCCCCCCTTTTTTTTAATGCTGAAAGACAGGAGGACTATGGTTCTAGGGCACAGAGGGTACCTCTGAAAGTGGAAGGTAGGTTTTTTTTTTTGTATGTTTAGCACAAACCATGGCTAGCTTTATCAAACTACAGTTACACGCAGCTTTTTGTGGGCTCTACCATGGAGTCTTACGCAGTTTCTTCCTCGATGGCGCATAGTGTTTAAGCATTCAGGTAGACAAAATATTGGTGTGGGTGGAGAACATCAGAACTGTCAACTACATATGTGACCTGGGGGACAATTTGTGCCCAATTTGTGCCCACTCATCCAATTTATGAAAGATGGTTTGAGATCTGTGGAAGTACACAAGAACTATGTATGTGCAAGTAATACTACAATATTTTGTGTATTCACTCTAATCTGTGGTCTGACATTCATTTGTAAACAATGGACTTCACTTTTTTTCTTCACTCCCTCCCTTTGAAGGGGAATTTAATACTTGCCCTAGATAATAATTGAAAACCAGAGGGGGATACTTTCATTTAAAACATTTTCAATTATGCAGGCATTTAAAATTGATTATTTTTTTTAAACAGAGGAGTCCTTGATGGACAGACAGCTAATAAAATATAGTAAACCTGTCCATTGATTTAATGGGTCCCCTCTGAACTAGACCTATTTACCACCAGCTACGGTACTTGTACGTCATACTTAATCTAACTTGATGGTTCTCCTGCTTTTAGTTTCTTCCACCCCTCCTTGGTCAAAGGTGGATGATACAATTTGTGTTTTATGCTATATCCCTATGAATGTGGAAAGTGGGAAATCTGACTATTAGCAATGCTTTTTAAAAATACTCTGTTTATTACACATTTTGCTTATCACAAATGAAGAGAAACATCAATCTTCATAATTTTTCACTTCAAAATACTGAAGTGTGTGCTATATTTTTCTGTTAGCATAAGTGATGTTTCTGGCCAATGGGAGCTGTGAGGACAGTGCTGGGGGCAGGGGCAGTGCACAGAGCTGCCTCATCCCACCCCCCCCCCCCCCACCAGGGGTGTGCAGAGACATGCCAGCAGCAGCTGGCTGCTGCGCCACGGGACTTTGTGGCCCGGAGGTCGTGAGGGGGCAGAGGAAGCCAGACAGAAATGTTAGACGGGCTGGATCCGGCTCACGGGCCATATTTTGCCCACCCCTGCTTTAAATAGTAAACAAAATACATATACAGTTTGGAATGGATGGGGGAGAAGCCTTTTATGACTCGTTTCAGAGTAGCAGCCGTGTTAGTCTGTATCTGCAAAAAGAAGAACAGGAGTACTTGTGGCACCTTAGAGACTAACAAATTTATTAGAGCATAAGCTTTTGTGGACTACAGCCACATATATATATATATATGCATATATATATATATGCATATATGCATATGTACATGCATATAGCTATATGCATCCGAAGAAGTGGGCTGTAGTCCACGAAAGCTTATGCTCTAATAAATTTGTTAGTCTCTAAGGTGCCACAAGTACTCCTGTTCTTCTTTTATGACTCATTATCCATCACTTTGCATATTTGGTAACAGTTCCTGTTCAGACTTCTTTGATACCTACACACCATATAGGGCTCTGTCCAGAAGAAAAATATTTTCAACTTTCTAGGATGTCCCTAGGAAGACCAAAAACTTGCTGTGGAGAGGTCATATCCAGGAAGTCAGTCACTGGAGGAGAGAGCTTTGGGGGAGTATAGATAAGTTTTAGCAATGGTGGATTTCAAGAGTTAAAATTTTTTCTTCCATCTGAATGTTAGTGTTTGTTGTGTATGAGTCGGGAAAGACTGTTAGAAGACCAATGTATATTTTAAAGTGATTTGTTCGGTATTCTTGAAGACTAAGTTTTCTGATTATCTAGGAAGTCAAACTATCACATATAGCAGTAATAGAACATATTTTCATTCAAGCTTGCATATTGGATGTTGTGTTGAACAGAAATATGAATATGTTGTATTTCAGGGACCTTGTGACTAGCTCAGTTTTGCCAATTAATTTCTAGCCAGTTCTGTTCTAAAGCTTGATGAGTTGCTCTTTTTCTTTGGCATATACATACTCTCTCCCCAAGATTTTCTTTATGGGTTTGATCCTGCCAGTGGTGATTTCCCTGTGTATTTGTTGATTTCTGTGAGGATTTGACCTCATGAGAAGAAAGTTTGGATTCCAAATACAGTAAAAGTTGTTTAATAGTTATGCCTTTGTGGATTCTACTGTGTTTTTGGTTAAGTGGGTTTAAGTGAAATTAATCTAAACATAACTTAATGTTTCTTGTAACTTGTTCTGTTCAGCTGAAGAATAATTACCATTTACCCACCTCTTATTTATATACAAAGGAACAGATTTTCACAATTGCTTATACACAATTTGCATGTATAAGTGCAGTAATTGTGCATGTTATGCATGTGTTCACTTCTAAAATTTTTAGAAGTTGATTTGCAGTTTATTGCATTTTAAAAATATTGAAAAAATACATTACTTGATATTTCCTGGTTGCCATTGTGAAAGCACAAAATCCATGAGCAGTGTGTGACTTAACCATTTTATTAATATGTAATGGTAATTGACAGGTTAATTAGACTGAAAATCATAACAAAAATGTTGAATAATTAAGATTTTCATTGAAATGACCAAGCACTCATTCAGTTTAATGGAAAGAAATAGATTATCTGAGCTTCATCTTACTAAAGCTGTTTCATGATGATCTGTCTCTCTCAAGTGTTTGGACTATTTCCTTTCTCCTCTCAGATTTTACTTGATCTAGAATATACAGAATCATTACATGTAATATTACTTATTCTTCAACTGTATAAAATATAACATTGGAAAGGAAATAAATGAATAGTTACATATGTTTTATTTGTGGGACACAGACAAAAAATAAAGCAGCCCATTCATGACTAGAATTTGACAGTTTTCTGTTTTTGTTTTTTAAAAAGTCAAAATGAGTCTAATTGCTCACTTTTGTTTATATAAATATAGAGTAAAATTGACAAACTAATACCAAGAGGAGGAGGAAATGAAAACTAAATAAAACAAAACTCCAGAAAAGTAAGTTTAAAGTCATTGCTCTTATTCTTTCTTCCCTAGGATATTTGTACAGTTTAAGACATACATTTCTTCAGAAGCACTAATGGATGTTGACATGCATTGGATAAGGTGGTGACCACTGGAAGTAATCTGTTGCTGTTCACTGCAGAGAGGGTAAATTGACTCCATTTGGAGTTCAGAGACGAAGCAGTGTGGAGGTATCTATCAAGATGACTGATCCTATGATGGATTTTTTTGATGATGCCAACCTTTTTAGCGAGACGTTGGAAGGTTTGTCGGATGATGCCTTTGTACAACCTGGACCCGTTTCACTTGTTGATGAATTGAACTTGGGTGCAGAATTTGAGCCTCTGCACATAGACTCACTGAACCATGTGCAAGATACTCAAACTCAACAAAAGATGAGCGAATTTGAGCAGTTAAATCAGTATGATTCACTGAAACTTCAAGTAAATCAGTCTTTCAGCAGCCCAGCTGACAGTGTTTTATCGCCACACTCTCAATTTAATTGCTCACCAATCCATCCACAAAACCAATCCAATGGAATGTTTCCTGATGTGGCTGATGGTAGTCCTATGTGGGGTCATCAAACTACCACAACTGTTCCAAATCAAAATGGGTCACCTTTTCACCAAGGACATTCTCAGTCTATGCAGCAAACTAAAAGTTTTGTAGCACACCATGACTTTGCCTTATTTCAGGCCAACGAACAACAGCATCAGTGTGCCTCACTACAGTCTCAACAAAGCAGAAACAACATTAATGCAGGGCAAGACGCTCTGAATCGGCCAAAAAACTTTATGGAGGTTAACGTATCTGCTCCACGCAGAGTCAGTGTTACCCATCCACCTCAAATTGCTAATCCATCAACTTCACAGCAGCCTCTCTCTGTTCAACAGTTTTCTCAAAATGCCAGTGCTTCAATACATTTTTGTGGGAATCAAGAAGGAAACTTTGATGGACAATCTCCAACTATGACTCCTTGCTCTGTTAATAATACACAGCAGTTTCCTTCTCCATATTCTTACTCTAATAACCACATTTCTCCTACCAGCCTTTTACAGTCTTCTACCGCTCTTTCTGCTAGCCAACAAACACATCCTTTATCTGATTATACTGGAAGTGATGCCTTTACATCTCAAACAGGGACCAAGCAAGAAACCACCGAGCACCTCTTGAATCCTAACACACCTTTGAATTCAAATAGTTTCCAAATGTTGCATTCAGCACATCCTCAGGGCAGCTACAGTAGTTCAAAACTCTCTCCTGTGAACATTAATTTTCCAGCCTCTGCGGGTTCTGCTTCTCAGATAAGCCATTTTGGTGATCCTATAGAAAGCAATGGTTTTTCATCTTTGGATGAGAACTTACTTCATCAAGTTGAGTCTCAAGCTGAACCATTTACAGGACTTGATCCAGAGGACCTCCTTCAGGAAGATCTCCTACCCCAATTTGATGATTCAGCATTTGTTCAGGACACTTCAAGCCACATATTAGAGCATGGCCTAGAACACCATATTACCCCACAGCAAATAACACAGTCATCCGATATTGCTCGGACACAGTCTCAAAGTCAGATGCATCCCTGGCATTCTTCAGTTTCTAATCGGCATCTACAAGACAGAAATCGTATAGCTTTGCAAGGGCAGGTATGTAGCCCTTTTTTGGGAGGGTGTGGTGTAATTGGTCCAGTGAACTTAATCATGCTGGTAAGTATTAATTCTTTGTCCACAGGTAACTCTAAAATCTCTTATCTGTTGTTGGTCATTTGTTAGTAAAGAATAAGTAACTCTCTTCTATCCTTGAAAAGAAATTACAGCCTATATCCCTAAAAAAGTCAAACCCTAAATATAAACATTGGTTGTTACACTGAACACTTACAATTCATACTCCTGTCTAAATGGATAAATAATATCTCTAATTTAGCTTTAAGTACTAAAATGGTTAATACAGAATTAGTTTTAGAAATACTACAGTATTCGCCTGGAACTAAGAACCTTATGTGTAACTGCTGCAGTCTACATCTTATTTTTGCTGCAGTAAGAATTTGTCACTAATGTGTACTAGGTACAAATAGACTTTAAGAAGTTATATGTAGTTTAGTTTTAATAAAAAAGATTGAAGTATAGCTTTAAGAGTCTGAGGGATTATTTTTCACTCCGTATAACACAGGTTTTTACTTTACTACCTGCGGTGTAACCAGAGTTGTATATATTCCCTGCTAGGTAAGTTTTTGACTGTTGAGTGAGTAGAAAGACAAGGAGCTGTCCTGAAAGATATAATGCTTGTTGAATTTTAGGGGAATGGAAAAAAATGTGCTTCATTAAAAGCCTGAAGAACTAAGGAAAAAAACTCCTTGTTTTACCTAACCTTTCGATACCAGAAATGCTAAATCCTGTGTTATTGCCTTTTGTTGCTGATAGTCTCTGTGGAGGACACGAGAAGTGGATTAACTTTCTTATCCCTTAATTGAATGAGTGGCTGTGTTGAGTCTTTTTTAAAGTGATCTTCATTTTCACCTGTTTGTCAGTTGTGTGCTTATGTTAAATAGGTGTTTGATGAAAATTACTGAGTAAAAATCACTTCCATCTTTGATTTTAGTCAGCTTCTTTGTTCTTGTGTTTTCATACATTTACTAGTTCTCAGGTTATCCGTTCCAGAAAAACAAATACAGAAAACCAGGATAAGCAAGACCTGAATTCATGTAAATCAGTGCAATGCTGTCCTGTTAACCCAAGGTTTTAGAAAACTCCACTCTCTAGCTTGCAGCACCAAAGGTATGCACTCACCTCACCCCACTGAACTCAGTGGTGTGATCTTGAAAGACTGTGAGCCATTTAAACTCAGATTTGTAAGGTCAGGAGGGACCACTATGCTCTAGTCTGAACTCCTGCATAACACAGGCCTACACCACAACCAGTGGTGCATAACACAGGCCTACTACACAACAACTCTGCATCAAGCCCACAAGTTCTCTTTGAGCTACTGCATACCTTTTAGAAAGCTATTCAGTCTTAGTGATGGTGAATCATCACCTCACCATTTAAGTTGTTCCAAAAGTTAATTATCGTCACTGTTTTTTTGTGTGTGTTCTTATTTCTAGTTTGAATTTATCTAGGACTACGTTCAACTTGCAACTGTTTGTTTAATCTCCTTATGCCTTTCTGTGTACTATCAGATACCCCCTCCTCCTGTAGCTGCTCGTAGACTATGATAAAATCACCTCTGAACCTTCTCTTAGATATAAGTTAGAGAATTTTTTCACTTGACCAGAGCTCAGAGAGCCGGGTTGAGCTTTAGTCTCTCCATATAAGGCATGTTTTCCAGACCTTAAATCATTCTTGTAGCTCTCTTCTGAAACTTTGCAATTTAACATCTCTTTTTGAACATTTAACATCCTTTTTCATTCCAGTAATGGTTTCACTAATGCCATATATACAAGTGATACCACTTCCTTAATCCTACTTGATATTCCCCTACTTATACATTCAAGAATCCCATTTGCTCTTTTAGCTACAGCATTGCACTGGGAGCTTATGTTCAACTGGTTACCTACCATAGTCCCTTACCCCTCTTCTCAAGTCCTTTTAAGAATCCCTGTTTTTCCAGGATACAGTTCTGTATCTTATCAGTGTGATCAACATTCTTTGGTTTTTAATGTATGACCTTGCTTTTGGCTATATTAAAAGATATGTTGCTCAAATGAGTTCACCTTACCAAGCAGTCCAGGTCAGTCTACGTAACTGACCTGTCCTTATCAATTACCACTTCATCAAGTTTTGGATCTTCTGCAGATTTTACCATAATATTTTATATTCAAGATGTTGACTAGTACAAGGCTGAGAACAGATCTCTGCAAGACGCTAGTAGAAACACCCACTTTGGATGATGATTCCCCATTTACAGTAACTTCTTTGTAATCTTTCAGTTAAGAAATTCTTAATCCATTGAATATGTGCTGCATTGATTTTGTGCATAATGTAATGTTATCAGAATGTCATGTAGCGTTAACACAGTTACCGTGATCAACCAAACTTGTGATCTCCTTTAAAAAAAAAAAAAAGTTTGACACTCACTTTCCATAAAATCATGGTGATTGGCATTCAGAATACTACCATCCTTTAATTCTTTGCTGATTGTCAATGTAAGAATGGCCATACTGGGTCAGATCAATGGTCCATCTAGCCTGGTGTCCTGTCATCCAGGAATGGCCAATGCCAGGTGCTTTATACGGAATGAACAGAACAAGCAATCGTTGAGCAGTTCATCCCCTGTTGTCCACTTCCAGCTTCTGACAGTGAAAGGCTAGGGACAACCAGAGCATGGAATTGCATCCCTGACCATCTTCTATCCTCCATGAACTTACCTAATTTTTTTTTTTTGAACCCCATTGTAGTTTTGGCTTCCACAATATCCCCTGGCAATGAGTTCCACAGGTTGATTGTGCGTTGCGTAAAGAAGTACTTTCTTATGTTCTTTTTAAACCTGCTGCCTATTAATTTCATTTGATGACCTCTGGTTCTTGTGTTATGTGAAGGAGTAAATAACACTACTTTATGCACTTTCTCCACATTCATGATTTTATAGACCTATATTCTATCCCCTCTCTTTTCCAAGCTGAAAAGTCTTTTTAATTTCTCCTCATATGGAAGCTGTTCCATACTCTGTCATTTTTGTTGCCCTTTTCTGTAGCTTTTCCAGTTCTAATGTATCTTTTTTGAGAAGGGGCGACCAGAACTTATTATGGATTGATATAGTGGCATCATTATATTTTTTTCTTTTTATTCCTTTCCTAATGGTTCCTAACCTTCTGTTAGCTTTTTTTTTTTTTTGATTGCCGTTGCACATTGAGCGGATATTTTCAGAGAACTATCCACGGTGACTCCAAGATCTTTCTTGAGTGGTAACAGTAGTGGGGATTATGTTTTCCAATGTGCATAGAAAACATAATCCCCACTACTTTGCATTTATCAGCATTAAATTTCATGTGCTGTTTTGTTGCTATTCACCCAGTTTTGTGAGATCCCCTGGTAACTCTTTGAAGTCTGCTTTGGACTTAACTATCTTGAGTAATTTTGTATAGGCTTCCAATTTTGCCATCTTGCCCCTTTTTCCAGATCATTTATGAATATGTGGAACAGCACTGGTGCCAGTACAGATTCCTAGGGGGCACCACTATTTAGCTCTCTCCAGCCACTATTTACCTTTGACCATATCAGCCTTAGGCATCTTCGTTTGAAAATTTTGGTTAACATTATTAGCCATAAGCAATCTTTTTTTCTATTTAAAAAGAGAGAAAATAAATTAAATGTTAAAAAACCCTACATTCCAGCACTGTTATGAAATTAAATCAGAAAAGTAAGGAAGTGAAAAATCCTATGCCAATTTTAACTTGTCTGGACATAAAAATACTATGTGTGTACAATGTAAGTAGTCAAGCAAATTAGCATGGCTTCATTTGGGAACATAGGAAAATGCTATACTTGAACAGACCTGTGATCTGTTTAGTCAGATATTTGGTTTCCCAATGATGGCCAGTACTTCAGAAGAAGGAGCAAGTCTCCATAACAGACAACTATGCAGTGACATGCCCATAAGGGAAGTTTGTTTTTTAACCTGAGGGGTTCAGTGACTGACGGGCATGAGGTTTGTTGAATAACACTTTCAGTTCCTTACTTTGTTGTGTTAAATGCATTATCTTAACATAGGTTTTTTTGCATTTAATTATTTAACATGGAAGGAGGAAAATATATTTACTTAAGGAATACATATACATCTCTCTTGTAACTTAGTCTTTGTGGGAGTTCCCATCATAAAACACTAATTTACTTCAAGATTATTAGCTTGATGCTTAAAATAAAACTACACGTTAAACTGTGGGGTTTCCATGTCTTTTATTTTGGTTACTGCTGTCTGTACTGCTTGGAAAGAGAGACTGTGCAAGAGCAGCCGTAAGGCTGAATGATGATCCTTCTTCATTACTGGGGTATTTGAGAGGGAGCGGTGTTTCAACTGGTGCTGAGGGAGTTTTGTTACAGTAGTGTAGACTGTATTAACTAAGCAGTTCCACAGCATTTTACTTTGAAATCACAACAATATCTGACAGGTCCATAGAGCTTGAAATAAGCAAGCTTTATGTGGATATAGTAAAGGAGAGCTGGAAAGTGAAGTCCATCCCCTGCCCTCATCCAGACACCAGGCTCTGACCCTGAGCCCTCTCCCCAGCCACTATTACAACTTGTAAATTAGAATAACCACTGCAGCAATTTGTGCAATTGTAGTGGGTTTTGGGGCCACTGAAATTCTTTAACTACAGATTCCTTGGCTTGTCCTCTAGTCTATCCCCTTGTAGTCTCGCTCTGCCACCCTATTTGGGACCAACACAGAAACCCTCTTCACGGTATGCAGGAAGTACACAGATTCCTGTGCGTAGTAGGCCTGTGCTATCTCCCATGTAGCCCTAAAGTACAGATTGCCATATGCTGGCCCTCTTTAGCATGTGTGAATTTTACCCTATAAGGTTAGACACTTGTGGGGCTTCTCTGTACCACTAGGATTGAGAGGGATTTTGAAAATATTGATGTAGTACTTACCTATTTTAGGTATTTACAAGGCACCTACTGCCTTGATATCTAATCTGTTAGTCTCA